GTTTTTTTGTGGTTGCACTTATTAGATAAGTCGAAAGGTTTAAAAATAAAATCAAGTATATTAAATGTTATAAATGCTATTTTAAAGGATTAAGGAAGTTTAAGTTAGTTAGTAAATGAGATAAAATATTAACCAAAGGTCCCTTTATACATGACTGTTATAATTTCATAAATAGAATATTAATATTTGTGACAAGAACTTATATATTTTGTGGCCATATTATTAGGTGCATACAAGTTTAAAATTATTTTATTTTACCAGTGATCTCAACTTTTTATTGTTACATGACTTTTTGTATCTCTGTAACATTTTACCTATGAAATTTCTTTGTTGATGGAATTGTTAATATGGCCACATGAGTTTCATTTTCGTTAATAGTCATGTGGTGTGTTTCTTTCCATCCTTCTACTTTCAAATTTCTTATATCCTTGTATTTCAGATGATTCCTGTCTTCTGTAAGCCAGATAAAAATAGATTACTTTTAACCAGCCTGATAATACTGGTCATGTAGTCCCCCTGGATTTCAGACCCCTTGTCAAGGTTTCAAGTCCCCAGTTTGTGGTAATTTGTTATGACAGTCCCAGGAAACTGAGACAGGTTCAATCAGTTTGCTTCCTTAATGTCTTTGCATTTAGTTCTTCCTGTCAAAAGCAGGAAGGCAACTGGTGGCATGGGATGAAATAACTAAAAGAAAATGAAGATTCTAGTACCATATGACAGAATTAAGAAATCAGAACACATGAGTACCTTGTTTAATAATGGCCATCTGGGGGAGATGGGGGGATTTTCACATTCTGTATTCTTTATTTCAATAAACATTTGTGGTTTTCTTTCTATAACGGCAATATTATTTATACAAGGAATGAGTGGAGATATATACTTAAAATATAAAAAGAAGGAAATTTAAACCCCTCTGTTTTTTGTATGTTCACAATTTTGGAGCCCTATGAAATCTTTCTGGGGGGGTGGATAAGTGAAAGGGCCAAGATTTATATTGAAAACATTTATTTTTCCATTCTTTAAGTTTTTTATTTCAAAAATTGTTTACTTACTTTCTTATTTATTTAAATTTTATTTATTTTTAGCTAATGTATGCTTGTTATGCGGGGCTGGATCCCAGGACCCTGGGATCACAACCTGAGTCGAAGGCAGACACTTAATGATTGAGCCCCCTGGGTACCCCCAGCCCTTTTTATGGCTCATTAATGTTCCATCATGAGGGTGAACCCTGTTTTGTTTATGCATTCATCTGTTGATGGATTTGGTTTTTCCCACAGTTTCTACCTCTTACCTATTGTAAATTGTGCTGCTATGAATATTTGGGTACAAGTATTCGTTTGAAAACCTGTGTCCAATTCTTTGGGGTCTGTACCTAGGACTAGAATTGCTGGGTCCCATGAAAATCCTGTTTAACTTCTTGAGGAGTGACTACACTGTTTTCCACAGTGGCTGAACATTTACATTTCCATCAGCAATGTACAAGGGTTCCAATTTCTGTACATCCTCAAAACTTGTCACTGCTCTTTTTGAATTATTATCTTACTATTATATTATACTAACATTATACTTATAGTCAGTCATGCTATAATAATGGGTGTGACATGGTATCTCATTGTGATCTTGATTTAAGTTTCCCTGATGACTAATGATGTTGAACAACTTTTCATGTGGTTCTGGCCGTTTTTGTATTTTCTACAAAGAAATATCTATTCAAACATTTGCCCAATTTTTAAAAATGATTTATTTATTTATTTATTTGAGAGAGAGAAAGAGAGAACCGGGGAGAGGGAGAAAGAAACCCAAGAAGACTCCAGGCTGAGGGAGAAAGAAACCCAAGAAGACTCCAGGCTGAGCACCGAGCCCAACATGGGGCTCAATCTCACAACCTGAGATCACAACCTGAGCTGACGAGAGTTGACTGCCTGGCCGACCGCACCATCCAGGTGTCCCATTCCCCCAAGTTTAAATTGAATCGTTTATCTTTTTATGGTTGAGTTCTAAGAGTTCTTTTTATGGTACAGATGCTAGACCCTTATCTGACATGATTTGCAAGTATTTTCTTCCATTTTGAGAATAGTCTTTTCACTTTCTGGGTAGTGTGCATGAGTCCATTTTTATAGAAAGTAAGAGATACTCTTCTTTCATTAAAAAGCAACAACAACAACAAATCTGAACAAATACCCTCCTAAACCACTGGTCATTATTTCTGGGTAGTTTGGATTGTCACTATTTTGTTCTTTCTGATTTAACTGAGGCAGTGTTTTCCAAGCTTACTAATTTTGCAAATCGGTAAATGGAAAGTGAAAGTTTCCAATCATTAGTTCGTGTTGTCACGACTTCCATGCCTCCTGTAAAGAATGGGAAGCACTGGACATTTAGGGAGTTTCTGGGTTAGGGTGCTGTCCTGAGATCCGAGACAGGTGGACAGTCCCAGCTCCTACCCTTATCATTCTGTTTTGTTTCTGCTACTCACTGGGACGCACCTTGGGAAAAGGAAACTGAAACCGAAGCTAAATCCAGCCACTGGTGAGGCTCTCTCCCCGACACTCCCCCTGACGTGCACAGCTCAGGTTCATAAAAGGGGGGAGCAGGAGAGGAGCTGGAAGCTGAGAGGCTGCAAACTGCTCTGTGTCTGTGGAGGACCGGGTGCCAGAGCCCACGGCCATGGTGAGTGCTATTTGATAGGTGGGGGCGGGTGGGCTCTGTACCAGTCAGTTTTCCTGCCTCTGCTGGGGTCATCCAGGGGTGGAGCACCCACCATGTGCCAGTCAAGTGGAGTTGCTCCGAGCTCCCCCAGGTCCCTAAGCATGAGGGGAGGGACAGGGTTCCTTCTGATACCGGGTTGGGGTCTGGGTCTTGGAAAGCACGTTCTGCCCAGTGTTTAACCCTGAGATCCCTTGGCATTGGCAAAGAGGGGCATCTTAGTGGGTTAAGGGAGGTGGAGTGATGGTCGTGGCTGGCTGACCTTTCTTCCGGAAACGCTCCCTGCTTGCCTCCAGTGCCTGGGGTTCCTTTCCTGGCGGGTGGGGAGGGGAGAGTGGCATCCCCAGCCTTGTCCTGCGGCCAGTCATCTGCACATAGTGGCTCCAGGACTGATGCCGAGTTCTAGGAGTCTGTGTGATGTCCACAGGCGGGGAACCTGAAGGTGAAGATGCTGGGGGGTGAGGAGTTCCTGGTCCCCCTGAGGGTCTCCATGCTGGCATCGGAGCTGAAGCAGCAGATAGCCCAGAAAACTGGCGTGCCTGCATTCCAGCAACGCCTGGCTACCCACCCCGCCGGCCAGGTGCTGAAGGACGGGGTCCCCCTCACCAGCCAGGGCCTGTGTCCTGGCAGTACGGTCCTGCTGGTGGTGCAGAGCTGTGACGAGCCCCTGAGCATCCTGGTGAGAAACGACAAGGGTTGCAGCACCGCCTATGAGGTCCGGCTGACGCAGACGGTGGCCAAGCTCAAGCAGCAGGTGTGCCAGCAGGAGCATGTGAAGGCTGACCTGTTCTGGCTGAGTTTCGAGGGGAAGCCCATGGATGACCCGCAGCGGCTGGGGGACTATGGCCTCACACCCCAGTGCACTGTGTTCATGAATTTACGCCTGCGGGGGGGGGGGGGGGGGGCGAGTGGGCAGGACCAGGAGGGCAGCACTGACGACCACCCACCTGAGTCCCTGACCAAGTGCGAGTAATAAAAGTTGACCTCAATATTAAATGAGTCCTTACGTTTAGTCCTTCCCCCAGCACCCCTCGCTTCTGCATCCCTGCTTATGAGGCTGGGGGAGGGACAGAAGAGGAAGTGGGATAAGGAGACCCAGGGTCACTGGGTGGTCACTAGGCTGGGGTTGCCAAGGGCAGGGACAAGTCTGGTGAGGTCAAAATGGTGATCCACTCCCACCCACCCCTTGGACAAACTGAAGATGTCCCCACACCTTTGGGAAATTAACTTCTAAAGAAAGAAAAGAGGCCCCTCTGCTGAAGCCCACCCCCGGCTCCAGATTGAGCCCATCAGCCTCTGCACAGCAGGTTTCCATCCCCCACATCTGGGCCAGCAGACGGTACAGGGAGGGGAAGGTGTGGTCAGGTTCCTGCTGGGACCAGCACCCTGGAGAAGCAGGGAGAGGGTGAGGCCCTAGGCCATGACTGGGTGGGCTGTGAGGCAGGCTTCTCCACACCAACCAGGGCCTTGGGGCCTCTTGGCCCTCCAGGCCACAGCCGCCTGCCCGGTCCTGTCTGCATGGGTCTAGGGAGGGTTGAACACTAACATCACCATGGGGCTGCTGCTGAATGGGGACAGTTCTCCAACAGACACCCTGGCCTTGAGGCTTCACCTGGTAGAGAGGCCGTGGCCAACAGGACAGGGGCCTCCAGGAATGAGGGGTTCCTCCAGTCCATGTGAAAGAGCTTGTCATAGTCGGGGCACCTAACTTGGCAAAGGCTACACCAGCCTCCACATAGAATGTTTCTCTCTATACCAATTTCCCAAGAGCTCCAGGGGAGCCAGACGGAGTCAGTCCCAGACACAGGCAAGATGGGGGTGGGGGGGGGACAGCAGGAGACACTGAACGTACACTTCTTTGGGCTAAAGTCCATGACTCTGGGGACATCCAGACCCCAGCTTTCAGACTGTTCAGGGTAATTTGGCAGGAGACCCAGACGACCCTTTCTGGTCTATGGGGGTCTGTTTCTAGGCCCAGGGACTTCATGTCTGGCTTATCTGTGACCAACAGCTGTGCGAACGCGTGTGGGAGCGGTGCTCCCCCATTTCCCGCTTCCCTTCTCACTTCTTTGCCACACTACAAACTAGCAAGTGTGAGCCTGCACCCTTGGAGCGGACGTGGGGTCCTCTCCAGAAGGGCCTCTTCTCCCTCTCACCCTCCGTTGCTTCGGACAGCTGTGGCTGGCTTGGAGTGAGGGGGTGTCCCGCAGACCCAGCCCTGGAGGGACAGCAGCGGTCCCCTCTCCCTCCCCCTCGATCTTCAGCGAAGCCAGGCTCTAAGCTGTGCCCTCCGGATCTCAGTCTACCTGGTACCCAAACCCGCCGGCTGGAGAAGCGCCCGCCGGGGGTCTGAGGAGGGGGCGTGGCCGGCCGCCGCCGACCCGACAGCGTCTCGGCTGGACCCGCAGAGGGAGCCCTCGGCTCTGCTGCGAGGCGGGAGCTGACCCGGGAGCGCGCGGTGGGCGGGCCTGCGCTCCGTCCAGACCAATCACCGCGGCCCCCAGTCCACATTGGTCCCAGCCAGCCGGAGGCGCGGCCTGCTGGGGCCGCCTCCTCCCCCGAACGGGCTGGGGGTCCCGCGCCCGGGCGAGTTTCCGTCCCCAGTTTCCTAAAAGAGGCGGTGGTTCCCCGTCGTGTTCTTCCCGCCGGGGGAGGGGCGTGGGCCTGCACGGCCCGAGGGGCCGCGGGGTCCCAGGATCTGGCGGCCCCTTCCCGCGGCCAGGAAGCTCCCGCAGCTCCGGCCGCGGCACAGCCTGGAACCTCTTGGAAGTCCCGTCACGTCGCCTCCAGATTATGCATTAACCCGATTGCAGCCGCATTTCCTGGGCGGGGGAGAGCTGTCCGCGCGGGCGGGCGGGGGAGGGGGCGTCCGTGGGGGTGCGCCGCAGGAGGGCGAGCAACGCCCCCCCCGGCCCACCCACCCCCCCTGCTCCGTCCGCCCCTCCGCCGGGGCGAGTCCCACCACCCACCTCGGCCCGACCCAGCCCGGCCCCTCCCTCCCACCAGCCCGGCCTCCGCCCGGCGCCGCTGTCCCGACGCTTTGTTCGCGGCCGGCGCGGGTCGCGGGGCGCCGGGCGGGCCGGGGACCCGCGCGGGCCGGGGAGCTGCGGTGGGGGGAGGTGGGGAGGCGGGGAGGGGGCGGGGCTGCCCCGGGTCCCGCCCCCGCGCCGCCCGCGCTCCCACCGCCTCCCAGGAGCTGCGTCCCGTCCTGTCTAGTCCCGTTCCCGGCGCTGCCAGGCCCGCGCGCTTGCTCTGGCCGCCTCCCGCCGTCCTCGGCCCGCGCCATGCCCAGCCTGTGGCCGTCCGGCTGGGCCCCGCTGCAGCCGCTCCTGCTGCTCCTGGTGGTGGCCGCGCGCGCCCTGCCCAGCGCCGACGGGACGTGCCCGGAGCGCGCGCTGGAGCGGCGGGAGGAGGAGGCGAACGTGGTGCTCACCGGCACCGTGGAGGAGATTCTCAACGTGGACCCGGTGCAGCACACGTACTCGTGCAAGGTGGGCCCCCGCCGGGACCCTGAGACCCCCCCCCCCAACAAATACCCCTCCTGGAAGCCTGGGCTGGGGGTCTCTTCCGCCGCCATCCCGGACCCCTGCCCCAGAGGCCTTCCCTTCGAGAAGCTGGCCGCCCCACTGAGACCCCCGCCCCAGGCCGTGGGAACCGGCATCAGACGCTCTGCAGCTCCCGCTCCCGCTCCCTTGGCGACCGCCGAGCCCCCGGGTGGGGCGCCGGGTCCCGGAAAACTCGCGAGTGCCTGCGGGAAAGTTCCTGCGGCACCTCTGCAGTCCCACCTCGCGGCGCCCAGGCCTGGGAGACCCGGTCACGTCTGCCCCCACCCCCACCCCAGGCCCACTACCTTATTGCGGACAAGTGCGCCGCCCCCCTCCCCAGGAAAACGGGCTACCACACCCCTCCCCATCAGTTAAAGAAAAGGAATGGGGACGAGGGGAACCGACGCCTTCCGCTTGGGGTGAAAGTGGGGATTTGGCCTGTGGTCAGTGCTGGCACCCCTTCCCAGAGGGCAAGAGGGGGTGTTCAGGAGAGAGAGTGGGGTGCACAGCTTAATCTTCCAACCTCGGGATCCTGGGGTGTGGCGCTGCAGTGACTAGGTTTGGGGGACAGGAGCAGAGAAGTGGGCGGGACTGTTGCTGAGCCTCAAATGTGGAGGGGTGCAGGGACAGGTGCCCCATCCTGCTCCTAGGAGAACTGGATCCCCCTGGCCAAAGAAGAGGGTCCTTGCCTCAGCTGGACTTGGAGCCCCCTGGACTAGGTTTGGTGGTGTTTTGTAGTTTTTTTTTTCCTCCACAGAACGTCCCTAGGGAGGGCTCAGGGGACCCGGCCTGTTCCGGCTCCGGCCCCTAAAACCACCCCCCTGAGCAGAAATCGGATCATTCCTTCTCCATGGAGATGGGGAGCAGTGGCAGCTTCTTTCAGATTGGCCTGTGCAAGCTACAGCTGGGATCCCCTGCCCAGCCCCCTCCCCTCCACCACACCAGGGCACTTTGCCAAGTCCCTGCAGGATTTTCCCGACTTCCTCCCCGCTGCTCCTGGGTGTGGCTGGGGTGGGGGGGAGGCGATGAAAGCAGCCCAGCCCTCTCCTGGCTGGTTCTCTTCCTTCCAGAGCCTACTATGTGTCTCAAGTTGGGAGGGATAAGGTTGGACACGGCTCACCCCCCAGCTGGGCCACTGGAAGGAGGAGGGGATCCCTACAGAAGCTGCAGTCCCAAGGCTCCCAGCAGGGCCCTGGCAGGTGGGCAGGCCACCATTGTCTTTGATCACCCATTCCAGAAGTCTCGGCTTCCCAGAGCTCCTGAAGAAAGGGGTTTCTTCTCAGAGACTGTGTGGGCTCCAGTCCCCCTGTGCATATGTCTCCGTGGACATGCCAACACAGCCTGCAACTCCCGCAACCCTTCTGCACCCCCGCCCCCCAGCTGTGGTGTCTCAGGGCTTGGTTTGTCAGAGCAGGTACCCTCAGGGCCCCAGGAGTGAGAGTGTGTAGGGTGGGGCCACCCTGTGCTGCCCAAACTTGATTTTGTGGTTCGAAGTCTGCCTTGCCTATGTTCACTGTAGGAGCCTGGCAGGAGGAGGGGGTCTTTCACCTCCTGGGGTGTGGGGGGGTGTCTCAGCCCACCCACGGGGCTGCAAAGAGCCAAGCTGGCCCGGAGCCCATTGCCCTGAAACTCCAGGGTCCGTGTTAGGTGCCCCTGGCTGTCGATGGGTGGGCGGATGGGGAAAGTAGGGCCGTGGAAGGTGGACCCCCTTCCTGTACCCAGCCTGAGCTGAGATGGATGCTATGGGAGGCGGCCGGGTCAGTTAGACCTTGGGGGTGGGAGTCCTGCTTCCTGGGAGAGGGCGTGTGTTCACAGGCTTCCTGTCCTTCTGGGTGACGCTCGCAGGCAGTGGCCTCCCTCGTGTTTGTGTGCTTCCTCTGAGGGGCTGACCCAAAGATCTCTGTCCATCTCTGCCCGGGGTTTGAGCCTACCCTGGACATCCGGCCTGAGCAGTTGAGGTGGGATGAGAAGAAAAAGCCCAGGTGGCCAGTCTGCTGCTCATCCCTGGACCCTGTGGCCTCATGTCCCCAGTGGAAAGGGGATACTGACACCTGCCCCCCCTCCCGCCATGTCCACCATAGGTTCGAGTCTGGCGGTACTTGAAGGGCAAAGACATGGTGACCCAAGAGAGCCTGCTTGACGGTGGCAGTAAGGTGGTGATCGGTGGCTTTGGCGACCCCCTCATCTGTGACAACCAGGTGTCCACTGGGGACACCAGGATCTTCTTTGTGAACCCTGCACCCCCATACCTGTGGCCTGCCCACAAAAATGAGCTGATGCTCAATTCCAGCCTCATGCGCATCACACTGCGGAACCTGGAGGAAGTGGAGCACTGTGTGGAAGGTACGGCCTTGCGGGGGGGTTGGGGGGGGCTGACGCAGGCTTGGAGGAGCTCCGTCATGCCCTGGGGGCGCAGGAGAGTTCACTGTAGGCCAGAGCACATGTGTCTTGTGGTCCCCCTGACCTCCCAGCTGAGTCCGGCCATCTCGAGGTCAGCCCTGATCTCTGACATTAGTAGGGATTCCCACGGACCAGCCCCCGCCCCACAGTGCCACTGTCTGCTGTCTTGCAGCCAAATAAGTCCCCGTCCTGCAAAGGGACAGGCTTCCTTCTCTTCTGCTTCCCCTCCCCCCAAGCTCCACATCCTCTCCTGGAGGGCCCTTTTCCGAGTGAGAGGCGGGGACCAGGTGAGTGAACACCCCGCTTGTGTTCCTGCAGAAGCCCAAACATCGGTCTGGATGGGTCCCGCGTGTGAGCAAACCCCTCAGAGTGGGGCAGAGGGGTCGGAGGAGGGGCCGCCCCACTATGTGTTCCAGGAGGCCTGTCATTTCTGGAAAGAGGGAGTTTGTGGCGTGGATACGTCTAGGGGGTTTGAGTGGATGTGGAATTCCCTGAGTCATCTGCTGTCCACATAACACGCGTCTGCTCTGAGTGGCTCAGCGCACTCCTCCCGCAGCCCAGCCTCTGTGAGGGGAGCTGGAATCCCACGACCCGGCTTCCAGGCCCCACCCCCCCTTTGCCCCAGGAGAGTCCCAGTTGGGGGCTGAGATCCTTTGCTGGGGAATGTGGCAGGGAGACTATAGGAACTGCCCCTCGCCCCTACATCCTGTCTGTCACCTCATGGCTGCCTGGGAAGGGATGCATTGGAGGGGGGCGGTGGGGGGCAGTGGAAAGAACATTTCCTCCTCAAGCCAGTGGGAAGGGTCTATGACTTCCTTTCCCTGGAAGGCAACTCTGTCCCCCCTGTTGGTTCTTTTGGGAGCAGGGAGGTCCCACCTTCTGTCTAGCTTAGGGTGTGATGTTGGCTTGGTTTTTGTGGGATCCTGTGGTGGTCTGAGGGGGACTGTGCAGGAGTTGGGACAGAACCTGAAATGGGGAGGCCTGTGGCATTCTGCCCAGCCTCTTGTCATCTGTTTCTGGGGCTGCTCCAGGGCCTGGGGCCTTAGCGTCACACAGAGAAGCCAGCAGGCCCCGTCCCTGCGGTGGCTCAGATGAGGGGTCCCAGACCAGCTCTCACACAGAGCCAGGACTTGAGACCCTGGTCCTGCTCTGGACAGGTCCAGGGGAAAGATGGGAGGGTGGCCTGGCAATGGCGATCCCTGTGGGATGCTGATGCCAAGTTTGTGGGATGTGGGGGGGGCTGTGTAAGGAGAAGCTGGAGAAGTGGGGTCAGGGTACAGAGAGTCTCCTCTCCTTGTGAGATAGAGTGAATTATCAACTCTACAGCTGGGCGGGTCCAGCCTGAGGGTCCGTGACTCAGTAACTGTGGCCTTCTGTGGGGTCAGAGGGCATGTGGCCAGAGGGCCACCCTGGACAGAACAAGGTTTGGCGTCTTGCCAAAGCCTGTTGTACCCACGCCAGCCCCTGGTTCTGGTTATGCCAGGCTGGGCATGGGGACAGCTAGAAAGGAGGGCACCCAGGGAGAGCCCCCCAGCCAGGACTGGCTGAGGCCCGACCTCCTGTCTGCCCTGGGCAGCCGGTGCTCAGGTATTAGGCTAGGACCTGAGCTCCAGCTGGAGGGAGGGCGGTGTTGGACACACAGGCCAGCGTACAGTCATGGCATGAGCTCCCAGGACAGGCGGAGACATTGGCTCTCCTGGGGTGGGCCTAGGGGGTGAGGACAGTTTTGGGGAGAGGGCATGCAGAGAAGGGCTAACACCAGGGCTGGCTTGGGGCCTTGCAGGGGGAGCCAGGTGGAGGGGAGGAGCTCAGTCTCCACTGTGAGGTGGCCAGAGGTTTTGAGGTGGGTGACACAGACCTCTGCTTTAAAAGCAAACCAGGTGCCATGGGGAGGGGGCTGGGAGGGCTGGATTCTAGGATAGGGTTGATGTCCCCAGAAGCCCAGGGTGAGGGAGGGTGCCTCCCTGAGGCACGAGATCCCCTGGAGCCAGGCTCAGGCTTGGGGAAGGAATAATTCTGTGCCCCCCTTCCCAGGCTGGGTGGGGGTGGCGGGATGGCCCCTCTCCTGTTCTGCCGGAGGGAAGGACTCAGACCCCACCCCAGGACTCCATCCTTCGATCTCCATGAGCCAAGGCCTCACCCTCATGAGGGGTTCAGATGGACAGGACGTGGGCTAAGCTGACACTTCCGCATCTGACTCTGACCTCATTCTGTTCCCAGGGTCTCCATAGTTGTCCCAGCCCCACAGGGCCCAGAGGGAAGCCGGGCATCCCCTCATCTCTGCAGGTCACCCTGAGACCACAAGGTCCCACTGTGAGCAGGAGGTCCTTGTCCATGGCAC